CCCTGTTCGTGTCGTCTCCTGTGTCACGAGACTCTCCTGTGGCACCATCACCTTGGTCATCCCTCTCTGCTTCGGCTCAGAGGCATGGCCTCCCGTCTTCTTGTGTCTGGTCTGCCTCGGTCCCTCCCTCCCCTTCCTCAGGGCCCTGGCCCTACCTGTGTCTCTTGTGTCGAGGGGCGCCAGCGTGCTGCCCCTCACTCCTCCCAGTTTCCTCCGACAGAGGCCCCGTTGCAGACGCTTCACATGGACGTGTGGGGCCCAGCCCGCGTCAGTGGACAGGGTCACGAGCGCTACTTCCTGCTCGTTGTTGATGACTACTCGCTTTACACCACAGTCTTCCCCTTGCGCAGCAAGGGTGATGTCACTGAGGTGCTGATCGACTGGATCCGCGCAGCTCTCCAGCTTAGGCAGAGCTTTGGCTCGGACTTTCCTGTTCTGCGTCTTCACTCTGACAGAGGCGGAGAGTTCTCCTCTGGCCTTCTGCGAGCCTACTGTCGTGCACGAGGCATCCGTCAGACCTTCACGCTTACGGACTCTCCGCAGCAAAATGGGATTGCTGAGCGCCGCATTGGCATGGTCTTGGACGTCGCTCGTACGTCTATGATGCATGCAGCTGCCCCCCATTTTCTGTGGCCGTTTGCCGTCAGGTACGCGGCGCATCAGATCAACCTTCACCCCAGGGTCTCCAGGCCGGAGACCTACCCAGCCCTGCTGTGGACGGGGAAGGTTGGCGATGCGTCGGCATTCCGGGTCTGGGGATCTCGGGCGTTTGTCTGCGACTTGTCTGCGAACGAACTGTCCCCTCGCGCTGCTCCTTGCGTCTTCCTCGGGTTCCCCCCCGACGCGCCTGGGTGGCAGTTCTACCACCCCACCTCTCGCCGTGTTCTGTCCTCCCAAGACGTCACATTCGACGAGTCGGTCCCCTACTACCGCCTCTTCCCCTACCGCACTCCGTCCCTCCCCTACTACCCCACTCTTCCTTGTACCAGGTCCCCCCCCCGGTAGACCCCCTCCCCCCTCAGGGTCCTGCCCCTTCAGGTGTGTCCCAGGTAGACGCAGTCGAGCCTGTCGAGGTCACTGGTGACTCTGGTGCTGCTGAGGGTGCTGAGCCTAGCGGTGCTGAGACTGGGGGTACTGGGCCTGGGGGTGCGGAGCCTAGGGGTGCTGAGCCTGGGGGTGCTGAGCCTGGGGGAGCTGGGCCTCGGAGTGCTATGCCTGGAGGTGCTTTGCCTGGGGGTGCTGGGTCTGGGGGTGCTGAGCCTGGAGGTGCTCCGCCTGGAGGTTCTCCGGGTGCTTCGTCTCGCCGGGAGCCACTCTCTCCACAGGAGCTGCGCAAGTGGTTTTCCCGGCGCTGGAGCCGTGCTGCTGGTGCTGGAGGTTCTTCGGCTACTGAGGGTGCTGCTGTCGCCGGTCTCGGAGGTGCTCGTACTGGGAGTACTGGAGCTGCTGGGCCTGCAGGTTCGATTGGAGCTGGTGCTGCTGAGGGTGTTGGCGCTGAGACTACCATTGGCGGTCCTGCTGGGGGTGCTCCTGGTGCTGCTGGAGGTTCTGGAGCTGCTGGAGGTGCTGCTGGAGCGGGTGCTCCTGCTGGGGGTACTGGTGCTGTCCCTGCTGTTTCTGGCGTCGCCATGCGGCCTCGACCGTACTTCGTTCCACTCCTGCAGCAGGTTCTTGGTCTTCCACCTTCTACAGGTCCTCCTCCTTCTTTAGAGTGTCTACAGCTTGTCCAGTCATAGCTACAGTTACAGCCTGCCTCTCCTCTACCTGCTCCCTCTCCTTACACTGGTCCTACAGGAGGTCTTGCTGAGCGTCGTGAGCCTGCGTCTCGTCTTGCGTCGCCTGTTTGTGCTGCTCGCACTAGTGGTCGCGGTTCGCGTCAGCGTCCTCCTACTGTCCCTGGCACGCACCAGATGTCTCTGCGTCCGTCCACTGCTCCTCTGCGTGCCCCTTTGCCTTCTCCTCCTGCGTCCTCTCTTCCTACTCTTGACGACCCGCAGTCGGACTCTCTTCGTGCTGCCAGTCCTACTGTCACGCGTCTCCTTGCTACTGTCGTCACTGACCCTTCTTTCGAGTCCACTGCTGCGTCTGCCCTAGTTGCTGAGCTCGTCGACTTTGCTGCTCGCTGTTGCCAAGACTACGCTGCTAGTCTTGTCGCTGAGTCTAGCTCTGTCTGTCCTCCGTCCGTCGGGGGTGAGTGTGCCCTTGGCACGGACGTCCTTGAGGACAGGCAGGAGAAGTTCCAGTGTCTGGCAGCTGCTTCACCTCATCTCGTGTCTGTATTGCTTACCCCTGAGGGAGACCCGGATGCACTTGACATCGCGACTCCGCGCTCTTACGCGGAGGCGATAGAGGGTCCCTACTCTTCTCAGTGGCAGGCAGCTATGGATGCAGAGATGGCTTCCTGGAAGTCGAGAGGCACCTACGTTGACGCTGTCCCCCCTCCTGGGGCGAACATCGTCAGTGGCATGTGGATCTTCAGGGTGAAGCGGCCGCCGGGTTCTCCGCCTGTCTTCAAGGCGCGTTACGTGGCTCCTGGCTTCTGTCTTCGGCAGGGAGTTTACTACTTTCAGACCTTCTCCCCCACCCCGAAGATGACCACTCTTCGGGTACTGCTGCACGTTGCTGCTCACCGTGACTACGAGCTACACTCTCTCGACTTCAGCACTGCTTTCTTGCAGGGCAGCCTCCACGAGGAGATCTGGATGCGCCGCCCACCTGGCTTCACTGGGTCTTTCCCTCCTGGTACTTAGTGGAGTCTCCGGCGTCCAGTCTACGGTCTCCGCCAGGCGCCACGTGAGTGGCACGACACACTGAGGACTACACTTGCGGCTCTTGGGTTTGCTCCTTGTACTGCTGACCCGTCGCTCTTTATGCGCACCGACACCGCTCTGCCGCCATTCTACATCCTCGTGTACGTCAACGACTTGGTCTTTGCCACAGCTGACACTGCTGGACTCGCCTACGTGAAGTCCGAGCTGCAGAAGAGACACACGTGCACTGACCTGGGTGAACTGCGCAGCTACCTTGGCTTGCAGATCACCCGGGACAGAGCACGCCGCACCATTACCCTGACTCAGTCACACATGGTGCAGCAGGTCCTTCAGCCCTTCGGCTTCACGTACTCCTCGCCTCAGGCCACTCCTCTGCCTACTCGCCACTCGCTCTCAGCTCTGCCTTCGGATGAGTCCGTAGAGTCGAGTGGCCCGTATCTAGAGCTTGTTGGTTGCCTCATGTACCTGATGACCTGCACACGACCTGACCTTGCATACCCTCTTAGCATTCTTGCACGCTATGTTGCTCTTGGGAGACACCGACCAGAGCACATGGCTGCAGCGAAGAGGGTGTTGCGCTACTTGTGCAGTACGTCGGGCATGGGGCTAGTGCTTGGAGGGCGGAGTCCAGTGGTCCTCACTGGGCACGCGGACGCTTCTTGGGCTGACGACCAGGCTACGCAGCGGTCGTCACAGGGTTACACCTTCAGCCTTGGTTCCGGCTCTGTTTCGTGGCGGGCTACTCGCTCGTCTTCTGTTCTTCGCTCCAGTTGTGAGGCTGAGATCTACGCCGGGGCCATGGCTGTCGAGGAGCTTCGCTGGCTCACCTACCTGCTGACCGACCTTGGAGAGCCGCCTCGTTCTCCTCCAGTTCTGTACGTAGACAACAAGGCCATGCTGGCCTTGTGTCGAGAGCAGCGACTGGAGCACAGAACAAAGCACATTGCTCTCCGCTACTTCCTTACTCGTGAGCTACAGCAGCGTGGACAGTTGCGGCTTGCGTACATGGCCTCAGAGGCCAACACTGCTGATGTTTTCACCAAGGCACTTGCGCCTTGTGATCATCAGCGCTTCTGTACTCAGCTTGGTCTTGTGCCTGTCTTGCCTCACTTGCTCACTTCTTGACCTTCCTTGTACTGTCACATATATATACTCTTGCTCTTGCTTACTTAGTCTCTTATATATATATATATATATATATATGTGCTCCTGCATGTGAACTGGCCTTCTGGCCTTGAACTTGTGCTCGGAATGTGTGGTGACTTTGTGATTCACCCTGAGCTTTGCTTTGCTTTGCTTGACTGGTCTTGTGACCCCTTGTTCTCCCCCACTTTGCCTATGGGGGTGTGTGAGAACATTATAGCTTATGCTGTTGTGTAGGCTATAGTGGGGTATCCCATAGGGGGTACAACCCTATTAGGGTTTCTTATATGTACTCACTTCATTCATAGTTCATTCATTCTTGTTTCTTCTCACACAGAACGAAGCACATCGCTCTGCGTTACTTCCTTGCTCGAGAGTTGCAGCAGCGTGGTCAGCTTCGTCTCGCTCACGTGGCCACTCAAGCCAACACTACTGATATCTTCACCAAGGCACTTTCATCTGGTGATCATCCGCGCTTTTGTACTCTGTTAGGCGTGGTGCCTACGTTTCCTCACTTGCTGTAGGCTTTGCTTGTACTGTGATATATATATATATATACCTGCATGCTTGCTCTTGCTAGGTAGTGATCACTATGCTGTTTTTGTTGCATATATACCTCTGCATGTGAACTGGCCTTGTGGTCCTTTGCTTGTGCTTAGTGCGTGTGGTGACGTTGTGATCCACCCTGAGCTTGCTTTGCTTTTCTTGACAGGACTTGTGACCCGTTGCTCTCCCCCACTTTGCCTATGGGGGTGTGTCAAATAATATATATGATATATGTGTGTAGGCTGTAGTGGGGCAGCTAATATGGGGTATAGCCCCTCTAGGTTTTCATATTTGTACCCAACCTTGTTCTAGTCCACCCATTCCTGCCTAGACTTTCAGACATGTTACATTAAAGCAGCAGTATACATTTGGCAGTACTGTTGGATTGACTACAGTACCCAAAACGATTTCGCCCCAGCGAAAGTGAAACAGCTTGGCGAGAGTGTTGGCGAAAATTCCGAGCCCCTCCACCACTTTGGGGGAATTGTGTGGGTACAAAATAGATGCACCACTTGTCTCCAAACTCCAAGTATTGGTGCTATGGTATCACTAGAGCAAAATAGGTTCTAGGGTACCCCAAGACTCGCACTTTAGAGAAGTGCTGGGCCGGCAGACGCGACGCTGCATCCATATGTGTACGTCCCGCCCGCCTCCCGCGCACTCACTTCCCCCAGCGCGCATTTGCTCCCCTCGCGCGCACTCGATCCCCCAGCGCTCACTCGCTCCCCGCGCTCGCACTCGCTCCCCCAGCGCGCATTCGCTGCCCCCGCACGCACTCGGTCCCCTCGCGCTCACTCGCTCCCGCGCGCACTAGCTCCCTCCGCGCGCACTCGATCCCCCAGCGTGCATTCGCCCCCCCCCCCCCCCCCCCCCCTCCCCGCTCTCACTCGCTCCCACCGCGCTCACTCGCTCCCTCTGCGCGCACTCGCTCCCCCAGCGCGCATTCGCTTCCGTCGCGCGCACTTGCCCCCCCCCGCGCTCACTCGCTCCCCCCGCGCGCACTCGCTCTCCCCGCGCGCACTCGCTCCCCCCTCGCTCACTCGCTCTCCCCACGCTCACTCGCTCCCCCCCCCGCGCACTCGCTCCCCTAGCGCGCATTCGCTCCCCCCGCGCTCACTCGCTCCCCCCCCGTGCACTTGCTCACCCTCTCCCAAACGCTTAGATCTCCTCCTTCCCCTCTTACTATCTCCTCCACCGCCTCTCCCCCCTTCTAACCGCTCCTCTTTCCCTCCCTGCATCCCCTCCTTTCCCTCCCTGCATCCCCTCCTTTCCCTCTCTGCATCCCCTCCTTTTCCTCCCTGCATCCCCTCCTTACCCCCCCTGCATTCCCCCTGCTACCTATCGTATGCGTTGCCAGTGGTGCAGGCACTTGCAGGGCGTGTGGTGCGGCGAGTGCGGGCGGTGGTAGGGCGTGTGCCCACCAGGGACCTGGCTGCTCAGGTGGGTAATACGGTCATTTCCCCCTCCCCAGTAGACGTTGGCGTATATGCTGCCAGTGATGCAGGCCCTGGTGGGGCACGTGGTGTGATGAGTCAGAGTGGTGGTTGCATTGCCCACTCGAGACCTGGCTGTTCAGGTAGGTGTTATGGCGTTTCTGTGCACACATATGCACACACATATTGCTGCCGTGCCCTTACACTCCCTTACTCGCAGACAAAGCCGAGTTTCAACCGTCAACCCTCCTCTCCCACCCTTGCCCCGCAACTTAACTTGTCTTTCTGTCCAATATACAATCCTGCTCTCCCCTTCTTCCTCTCTCCCCTTCCTTGCCCCCCACCGTGCCATTCTGCCTACTACTGCAGGTGAAGCACGTGTTTGACACCATAGCGCTGGCTGTCGGCCTTGCAATGGCTCTCGTCATCGAATCATAGCTCGCTGACGAGGCAACCAACCTCGTGCCGCACCCTGCCGCCCGTTCTGGCCCCTTGGGCCCCCTCAGTCACTCAAGATACAGACAGGGAAACGGCTACAGTAGTGGCCCAATTCACACCCTCGCAGCTGCCGCCACCGCCCCTTCCGCCACCACTGCTGCCACGTCAGCAGTCGCTGGCATGCATGCTGACATTGCAGTGAGCATGCCAGCTATTTGCTCCTAGTGTCGTAATCCCGCGTTCTTGCTCCTCACACTTTCTCTCATCTTTTCACACACAACACTGCCTTCCCATCTCCCATCCCTTCCTTCCCATCACTGCACTCCCTGCCTTCGCATCTACCCAATTCATCCCCTTCTTTCCTGTTTTTCCCTTCCCTGCCCTCCCCGCTGCCCTTCCCTTCCCTGCCCCACCCTTCCCTTTCCCATCCCTTCTCCCTTCCCTCCCTTGCATGTCCTCCTCTTCCCCCTCAATCACTCGTCACCGTCTACCCTCTAGTTCTCTGGGGGGATACGGTATGACTAGCAGAGGTTAGGTACAAATAGCAAACCCTAATTTGTGTTCCCCTTTTGAACCTTTTGTAGGCTAAATAACAGCATGCATGATGCATATAAGTTTGACAAGCCACACCATTTTTCGGGCCTCGCACACATTAGCTTCCCTACTTTTTACATTTTTTTTTGTGGTGTAGACGTCCATCCATCAGCGCCCCGGCTAGTGCCGCTGCCCTCTCGTAAGCACACATAGCCACGACCGAGACTGCCACTGAGGTCGCCCGATGCCCCTACCATAGACGAACGCATCACTCATAAAGGCCTATGACGAGATCACCCATGAAGAGTGTTGGAACAATCGTAAGGTGTCTTAACATTCCTGAAGATGTAGCCTTATCGCACCTGCTCCTAGCGGAGCAACACATACCACTACCACGTTACTACACATAGAGCACGGAGGTCAACAGTCGCGAGTAAACTGTCGCGACTGTTGACAGACCTAGACCAAGAGGTTGCGAACTGCATCGCAAGTCGCAACCGTCTGGGAGGTTTTCAAGTCGACTCAAAACCAGTGACCTGCCAGATGTGCTGGAGCGAATCGCCTATTGCGGACTAAAGTGAGCCAGCCACAATGAGGGGCGAAAGCTGAGCGAATTCAGGCTATCCGGTGGGAATTAAATGGCAGGCAGTGGGGCAGGCCCCCAGAAGTCAGGAAAATTTCTCTGATTTGCATGAAAAACTCTGAGAATTCAGATTTTTTTTTAAGTGAGGTCTGTTAAAATCAGAGATTTTTGGGCCCCAACTCTGTAATTTTCAGAGAAATTTTAGAGCTAACTGTGAAAGAAACTAGAACGAGAATGAATGAACTATGAATGAAGTGAGTACATATAGGAAACCCTGATCAGGTTGTACCCCCTATGGGATACCCCACTATAGCCTACACAAATATATAAGCTATAATGTTCTGACACACCCCCATAGGCAAAGTGGGGGAGAACAAGGGGTCACAAGACCAGTCAAGCAAAGCAAAGCAAAACTCTGGGTGGATCACAAAGTCACCACACATTCCGAGCACAAGTTCAAAGGCCAGAAGGCCAGTTCACATGCAAGATCACATATATGTCAGAATATTATCTTATTGTTCTAGCCTGTAGTGGGGTGCTCTATAGCGAGTACAACCCTTCTAGGGTTTGCTATTTGTATCCTCATTCTTGCTAGTTCAATCCTCTTTCTTCTTCTAACTTTTGACATGGTATCAGAGCAGGTCGATCCCCTTGGATCGATCCTGTGGGTGGGTTACCACCTCGCTTCCGCTGCTACTTTTTCCTCCCGCCGTGCGCCCCGAGGCGCGCGGTGGTTTTCTGCCCGCCGTGCGCCCCGAGGCGCGCGGCGGTTCATTGCCCGCTGTGCGCCCCGAGGTGCGCGCCGGGCTTCTCCCCTACGTCGCGGCCCCGCCCCGATCGTCGCGGCCCCGCCCCTTGACGCAGCCTCGCTCTACGTCGCGGCCCCGCCCCGGCCCGTCGCCGCCCGTGCGCCTGCCCGGCTCGGCCCCGCCCTTCGTCGCGGCCCCGCCCCGGCGCGTCGCCGCCCGTGCGCCTGCCCGGCTCGGCCCCGCCCTTCGTCGCGGCCCCGCCCCGGCCCGTCGCCGCCCGTGCGCCTGCCCGGCTCGGCCCCGCCCTTCGTCGCGGCCCCACCCCGGCCCGTCGCCGCCCGTGCGCCTGCCCGGCTCGGCCCCGCCCTACCTTCGCGGCCCCGCCCAACGTTGCGGCCCCGCCCTATGTCGCGGCCCCGCCCTACGTCGCGGCCCCGCCCTATGTCGCGGCCCCGCCCCGACCGTCGCGGCCCCGCCCCTCGTCGCGGCCCCGGCCCCGTCCCCCCCCCCCCCCCCTTTTCTCCCCTCCCCCCCAATTCCCGTCGCCCGTCGAGGCGACCTGAGGGGCGCGATGTGGGGTGGCAGGTATGGGGGTGGCCAGTGTACTTTCCTCCCTTTGCTCCTCCTCCTCCTCCTTCGTCTCCCACTGCTGCAGCTGTCGCTGAGGGGGGTGGTTGTGTGGGAGACTGGGTTTAGGGTTTTAGGGGGGTGCGTGGGAGTAGAGCTAGTGGTGTAGCAGTGGGTGTGTATCAGGGGGTGGGACTGTGTGCGGGAGGATGAGCGGAGGTTGCCAGTTTGTCGTCAGCAGCACCTGTAGTCCGGGGCGCTGTCCCGGTAGCCCAGTCGTAGCCAGCTGTGCCAGCCGCCCGTGGGTCCGTTGCCCGTCCGCCGCTATTTGAGCCGCGGGGCCTGTTACTCCTGTAGTCCGGGCACTGTCCGGTAGCCGCTGTGCCAGTCTGCCTCCTGTTGCCCGTGTGTCTGCAGCTTCAGCCGTCACCTCCTGTCTCCTCTCCCCTCACTCTCCCTCCTCCTCCTCACTTGCCCGTTGTGACTACCACTTGCTTTGCTTATAATTGTGAACTCTAAACTATTTCTTCTTGAACTTGTGCTCAGAATGTGTGGTGACATTGTGATCCACCCTGAGCTTGTTTTGCTTTGCCTGCTCTGCTGATTACACCCCACTTTGGCTATGGGGGTGTGTCAGAATATTATCTTATCGTTCTAGCCTGTAGTGGGGTGCTCTATAGCGAGTACAACCCTTCTAGGGTTTGCAATTTGTATCCTCATTCTTGCTAGTTCAATCCTCTTTCTTCTTCTAACTTTTGACAATATATATATATATATACAAGAGGCTAAGCAAGCAAGAGCAAGAGTATATATATGTGACAGTACAAGCAAGGTCAAGAAGTGAGCAAGTGAGGCAAGACAGGCACAAGACCCAGCTGAGTGCAGAAGCGCTGATCATCACAAGGCGCAAGTGCCTTGGTGAACACATCAGCAGTGTTGGCCTCAGAGGCCACGTACGCAAGCCACAACTGTCCACGCTGCTGTAGCTCATGAGCAAGAAAGTAGCGGAGAGCAATGTGCTTTGTTCTGTGCTCGAGTCGCTGCTCTCGACACAAGGCCAGCATGGCCTTGTTGTCTACGTACAGGACTGGAGGAGAACGAGGCGGCTCTCCAAGGTCGGTCAGCAGGTAGGTGAGCCAGCGAAGCTCCTCGGCAGCCATAGCCCCGGCGTAGATATCAGCCTCACAACTGGAGCCGAGAACAGAAGACGAGCGGGTAGCCCGCCACGAAACAGAGTCGGAACCAAGACTGAAAGTGTAACCCTGTGACGACCGCTGCGTAGCCTGGTCGTCAGCCCAAGAGGCGTCCGCGTGCCCAGTGAGGACCACTGGACTGCGCCCTCCAAGCACTAGCCCCATGCCCGACATACTGCACAAGTAGCGCAACACCCTCTTCGCTGCAGCCATGTGCTCTGGTCGATGTCTCCCAGGAGCAACATAGCGTGCGAGAATGCTAAGAGGGTATGCAAGGTCAGGTCGTGTGCAGGTCATCAGGTACATGAGGCAGCCAACAAGCTCTGGATACGGGCCACTCGACTCTACGGACTCATCCGAAGGCAGAGCTGAGAGCGAGTGGCGAGTAGGCAGAGGAGTGGCCTGAGGCGAGGAGTACGTGAAGCCGAAGCGCTGAAGGACCTGCTGCACCATGTGTGACTGAGTCAGGGTAATGGTGCACTGTGCTCTGTCCCAGGTGATCTGCAAGCCAAGGTAGCTGCGCAGTTCGCCCAGGTCATGGCACGTGTGTCTCTTCTACAGCTCGGACTTCACGTAGGCGAGTCCAGCAGTGTCAGCAGTGGCAAAGACCAAGTCGTCGACGTACACGAGGATGTAGAACGGCGGCAGAGAAGTGTCGGTGCGTAGAAACAGTGACGGGTCAACAGTAGAAGGAGCAAACCCAAGAGCCGCCAGCGTAGTCCTCAGTGTGTCGTGCCACTCACGCGGTGCCTAGCGGAGACCGTAGACTAGACGCCGGAGACTCCACTAGGTACCAGGAGGGAAAGACCCAATGAAGCCAGGAGGGCGCCGCAGCCAGATCTCCTCGTGCAAGCTGCCCTGCAAGAAAGCAGTGCTGTAGTCAAGCGAGTGCAGCTCGTAGTCACGGTGAGCAGCGACGTGGAGTAGTACCCGAAGAGTGGTCATCTTCGGGGTCGGGGTGAAGGTCTGAAAGTAGTCAACTCCCTGGCGCTGACTGAAACCACGAGCCACGTAACGCGCCTTGAAGACAGGCGGAGAACCCGGCGGCCGCTTCACCCTGAAGATCCACATGCCACTGACTATGTTCGCCCCAGGAGGGGGGACAGCGTCAACGTAGGTGCCTGTGGACTTCCAGGAAGCCATCTCAGCATCCATAGCTGCCTGCCACTGAGAAGAGTAGGGACCCTCTATCGCCTCCGCGTAAGAGCGCGGAGGCGCGATGTCAAGTGCATCCGGGTCTCCCTTAGGGGTGAGCAGTACGGACACGAGATGAGGTGAAGCGGCTGCCTGGCACTGGAACTCCTCCTGCCTGTCCTCAAGGACGTCCGTGCCAAGGGCACACTCACCCCCGACGGACGGATGACAGGCAGACTC